TGATTTCTATAGCTCACAATAAAACGTATTTAATAGTACAAACATTGTCAAGATAACATTCTATTTTTTTTTAAAATACATTGTTTTTATATTATTTAATGTATCTACTTTAATAAATGTAAAAATGTCCCACAAATAAATGCTAAAAAAGACTAGTTTTTATTATTTTTTCTAGGCTTCTCTTGGAGTTTTCTTTTTATTCCACACATAATTATAAGTAAAAATGACCATCAGGAGACAAAGTGAATCCTTTCAAGGAAGAAATTTATTCCTTAAATTGAATAGTAATAACTATAGTAATAACACTTCTATGTGAAAAAAACTATCACCTTCATAGATCTGGATACTATATGGATAGTCCAAAAGTGCATAAGTTTTGCACAATTCAAATAGTTTTTCAATCTATGAAGAAAATAAAAATATATCACCAGCAAAACTAAAGCAAGCACTATATTGTATCTCTGAAAGCAATGACTGTTTCCTGTAAAGGTTTTTAGATGAAACAGTGCATACTTACTTTTCATTAACAATACATGACCACTGCCAATTGATATCTGTGACTAAAAACTATATCCAAAATTCTCCTCTGGTGAGGAGAATTGACCACTAGAAAGATATCTGAGGATTTCATATTCCCTTAGCTGGACTCTTTTTTTTTTTTTTATTGTCCATGATCATTGACACTTTATGTTACATTTTACTTATACTCATTTACATTTTAGTACCATGTGATTTATAAATATCCTAGGTAAAACAAGGGCAATCTTACATATTCTGGAAATTTCAAATCTGAGAACATGAGTGTGAAATCCTCCTGAACCATCTCTCTCTCCTTCCCAGGTCCTAATAGCAGGCCTTGAACAGTGCAAAACAGTCTTCTTAAATACATTAGTCTTTCTTGTCATAAAAATATTTTCCTCTAGATACTACTTACTGGTTTTTTTTTTTTCATTTAATTCATAACCGAGTTTTCAGAAAATAATCTACATTTTTCACAACTTCTTCTCCTTTCAATTATTTAACTATAATCTGGTTTCTATCTCTATAGTGCTTCCAAAACATCTTTCACAATGGCTGTCTAACTGAGAAATCCAATAAACCACTTATAACACTTGTCCTCTTTGAACTGTCTGGAGTTGATACTCATTGGCACTCTATTCCTTTGATTTGTAGGAATCTACTCTTCAGTAAATCTCCCTCAACTTCTAAATCTTCTCCTTTACTTTTGTTGATTCCTGTTTGAGACAGCAGCAAATAGTGGTATTTCTGAGGGTTCCAACCTTAATTTTCTAATCCTCTTTCCATAAACCGACTCTTGTGTCCTGGTATAAAATGTACCTAATAAACTGTCCCCAATATATCTCTTGAACCTTCTCTTCTCCTGTTGTGCATATAACCTTTTTCTATTCTCAGCTACCTTTATCTTTTATTTTTAGACCTATTCTCCTTTGATTGTGCTATACCCTCTTTTGAAAAAGATTTTCAATCCCTTCTTTCCTATAAACCTACAATATGTTTTCTAAAAATACTGTGAAAATGTGTCTCCATGTATAAAGCCTCCCACTCTCCCACTAGGAATCATTCATTCATCTCTATTCAATTGTTTTCCCAGAGCACTTTGGTCATATTTCTATTATAATAATTATCAAATGATATTTTAATTTTCTCAAAGCGATTCATCTTCCCAAAATGAATTTTAAGTTCCTCTAAAGTAAAAACTATTGACATTGTTACAGCATAAAGACTGCAATGCAGTGTAAGAATTTTAACCAGGGTACGGACTTTAGAATTGAAGAGGACTGGTCTGAGTCTCAGACCCCTTCCTAGTGTGTGACCTTAATGTTGTAATCTATGAAAACGGAATAACAATTAGATAATAATAATACTTATGGTTAACAGTCTACACACATAAAATGTGTATAGGGCTTAACACAGTACATGGTACAGAGTATTTGCTAGGTCAGTTTTAGCTGTCATTGACTTCAAAATTTTACAGAGACTCACTCATCATAGATTATTACTAAATATTTAGTAAAGGAATTGATGAATAAACAATAACAGAGTGTAATTCTTCCTTGCTTCTTATATGGTTTAAGTAGGTGAGGAATGCAGTAGAGTCATCTTCAGTATCTGTGGGGAACTGGTTCCAAGACTTTCCTTGGATACCAAAATCTTCAGAGGCTCAAGTCCCAGATAAAAAATATGGCATCGTATTTGCATATAAGCTATGCACACCCTCCGCTATATGTGTAACATCTCCAGATTATTTATCATACCTAATACAATGTAAATGCTATGTAAATAGTTGTTTTGCTGTATTATTTAGAGAATAACAACTTGGGAAAGTCTGCACAGAAAAATTTGGAAAGAAAAAGTCTGTATGGGGTCAGCACAGACACAATTTTTCTTTCCAAATACTTCTGATTTGCACTTGGTTGAGCCCACAAATGTGGAGTGTAGGGATATAGAGGGTTGATTGTATACACATTATGCCCACTATCAGAATAGATTTTAAGGCATAGAAGACCAAGGTACACACATTTCCAAAAATACAAACAGAGATAGAGACACAAGTACACAAAAGTAGGAGAGGTTGCTCTAAACTCCCACAATTAATATATTTTTTCCTGGATGTGTTTATCAGTTAGGCCAATTATTTTTAAATTGTATGACTTTGATGATACTTAGTAAGAGCACAAAGTGGAAAAAAAAATCAATGTGGGCTGCTACACCCATGAGAGATTTTTATTCTCGTAACACAGGTATGTTCTCTGGACAGGGAGTCATCCTGAGATCTATTTTTGGGTGGGAAAGGTAGGCCTGAAATGGATATATTTTGCCCAGAATTAGTGAGACAGGGGCAGGACAAACGAAGACTGGGATTCAGAGGAAGCATTACTGGTGTTCTAAAATAGAAATAAAATAAGTACCTGAATCAATTTTTGGTCAAGGAGAACCTTAGATATACTAACTCTGAAATGTTAATGAATCTATTGTTCTCTTCATTCTTTTGTCTTGTTGCAATACCCAAGTTCAAGCCCTAATCACTTGTTAATTGAAGTGTGGTCAAACCTTTTGATGTAGAGTCCCTGTGGGTGATCTACAAGACTTTCCTTTACATGCCAACAAGTATCACCTTCACCACAAAACTCCTTCAGCTCAAGCCTCTGCCTCAAGTCTCAGCAGTTCATTATGAATAAAATAGTAGCATTTTGGTAATAAAATACCTGAATTTTAATACAATTGTGCTTTAAAACCACTACTAGGTACTTTGAGATTACTGGAAGTGATCAGATTCCAATCAGGGCTACTCATTATGACACTGGTTATTAAGGATTATATGCCAGATATGATTGATCTCTAAAGCTCAAAGGCACAATGCAAAAATAATTTCCATTGTGATGAACATTGACAGTTACCCCAAAGGTGATCCTAGAAATTTCTCAGAGGAGATGAGTTTACTTTGCATATATGTTCAAAACACTACAAACTGAATCAAGAAAGAATGATTTAAAGTATTAAGAAACAAAGTTTCTGAAAATTTTTCAGACTGTAAAAAAGGTCTTACTCTAAGACTTTTCATCTGTAAAGAGGGTCTTACTGATGAAGGTAGGGCAGTTCTCAGTAAAATTTTGGAAAACAAAATATAGCACTTCATCTGTGTTTGAAATAAAAAGTCAGTTACTAAATAAAAATTAGCATTCCAAATATAGTATACAGAAATAGTCTTAAAACACCTGCTTCTGTACTTCTCTAATTAAAAGCTACTCTTTTCTAGCAAATGTATTTTTATTAAACAGTTCCACGAGCTTTTACATGTATTATATTTCTAGACACTCTAGCAGTCTGTGGTGCACACACTTGTTGGTGAGTGAAGCAAAGGTTAAGTGTGTATGACACAGATGAGCCCCGAGATTAAGTATACTCTGTGAAATGCATGTGGATGTTCATGATTTAAACCAATGAACTGTGGCCTGAAATGATGTCACACGAAGCGCAGCAGTAAGTGGAAGGTTAAACCTACTTGCATCTTGGCTCATTAAACGCAGTTAAAGTGCAAATCCCCTCATTCTGACAGTAGTGATCACAAGGGTTCTCTTTCTGGTCACAGCGCTGACTTTTAAACCCCACAGAGCATCTGCAGAATTTCAGTAAAATACAGCTAAATAAAGCGTCTGACTTTTTTGTTGCTAAATATGTTTTAAATTCATTTCATACAGAGATAGTAACATTTGAACGAAAGGTTCCCAGATATGCTCACTTCTCTCTCAAACACACTCATCACATGCTACTCTGACAAGGTCGGGAGCGGGATGCAGATGTGGGTTATACGTGGGCATCATCCTTCCAGTCAAACAGTGATGAAACTCCCAACAGTGACCATGTAATCTGAATGATTTTATTTCAAATTATCCACTCTGGATAATCAGATCATGGAGGGGGGAAAATATTAAATTCCAGATTTTCTCAGGAGCACTATGGATATACCCAATATTTTTCCTAGGTGTTGAGAAACCCAGACACTCAAGTTATTCTAAAGCAGCCAGGGGCTTAATAGGTTTACATAATAAAACAGTCTATGTCTCATACAAACATCAAATAGCATTATACATTTGAAAGAATATTACAAGCTCTTTTGAAAAAAATGGCCATAAGTACCAAAGGATTCATAAAAGATGATTATCTCTGGGCTTCACATATAAGAATAAGGTCAATAGAATTATTACAATTTTCGCTGGCATTTCCAAGTTCAAAGGTCTATGCATGTCTGAAATGGTATGATGCTAAGAACAGAATGAGCTCTTCCTCATGAAATCATTAGCAATTTGATGAAAGAGGAGATTCTGCAGCACATGAGCTGATGAGGGACAATACTTGATCAGAGATGTCCATGAAACACTCATTTAAAATTACCCCAGGAAAGGAGAATAATAGAACGGGGATTTCATATACATACAAAGGCTTATTATAAAATGCCCATGACTTGATTAAATACTCACAGACACACAGGTACATTTGTCTCTGGGTCCAGCTGGCATGTGCCACCATTGTAACAGTAGCCATCACATAACTGACAGCTAGAGGCAATCTTTCCATTAGTGCAGCTGCAACAACAAAGAAAAAAATTTCATTGTTATTGGCAACATTATTGCTGAAAACTGACATAAACTCTCTGTGGATGAGAATATTCATCATATAGGAGAGATGGTGTGGCTGGTTAAAAGGAAGTTTTCAGGACGTCTGACCCACTAGAGGCAGTTTTTATTTAATTTATGTTAGAATGATGCCATAAAATTTTCCTTCTGATAATTTTCAAATTTTCAACCAGTTCATTTAATATAAACATTTGTGCAAAAAAATATACTCTAATGTCTATCATTTACACTTCCAGGGGACATTAGCATCAATATCTTGTTGCTTTTTCATGTAAGTAGGGTTTGGTGACGTCTGTGTGAATGATAAACCACATGATCAAGTACTCTGGAAAAAAGTGCTTTAGCTTTTCTTCTAAAGTGGAAAATCTGTTTCAAAGAATGCTAGGACTTTTAGACCCCACATTTCAGAAGAAAGTGGAGGGTTATCCTGTAGCCACTTTTATTCCACTGTTTCTCTTTGAATATGTATTGTAACTAATGTCGAACTATTTTTATTCTAACATAAAAAACATGGAGTAGTTCATAACAACAACAGCAACAGCAAAAAATCAGTTATATTATACGGGCAATGTGCAACATGACAACAAAGTAATAAGACAGGCTTTCTTGAAACTTACCAAAATGTTTCTAAGTTTAAAGTCACATCGCATGTTAGGGATAAGAATAAATAACTACTGCTACATCGTAAAAATAAACATAATAATACTAGGAAAAACACAGATATTTTTTACTTGCCATGTTACATTTTTTAAATAAATACTCAAACAATTAGATTGGACAGTGAAAACTGTTGAGTGAATGCAGAAATGTGCATCAACATTTCAAACTATACAGGGACCTACTCTGTGGGTCAAAACCAGAATTAACAGCAGATCATGCTGGCAATTCTGAATATGTGGTCATGTCAGTATTAGCTGCTATGAAACAATCAATGGTATCACAGTGCATCTGGACATAACCTTGACAAAATAATCCGGCTACAATATCGCTTGATCACTTTGATCCTCTCTGTGATGGATATCTGTTGTAGTACGTCTGTCATAGGGTGATTTCTAATGATAGGTGAGATGCCTAAAAATAATTGGTTGGCATATAGTTTATTTATTCTGTGCATGTTCATTTGACCTCATGTGGGTCGTGCAGCTACTGAAAATTCCCTCAACTGCTTTTAACATTCATTGGTATTTAATCTGAAGATATTTCTGAAAAGCTTAGATTGTGAAATCACATTTCTTTTCAAGATAAACAAGAGAAGTGAGCAGTGTAACTATGTATAAGATGTGAAATAAAGATATAGGGAAACAGAAGAAGACATAGAGAAGGGGAGGGTGGTCTCAAGTTTGTACAAAGACTATCCCATCCTTTATAACCTATAGAGGCACCCTAATATGGATGCAGTGAATTAATAAGCAATCAGTGGTATTGGTGTCTGATAGACTAAGTGCATCTAAGGGACTTTTACTTGTCCTCCGTGCCCAGCCTCTTTGAAAATCCTAAGGTCAAAAAATTACTTTCTTGTTTTATCAAAGGAACGGCCTCAAAAGGGAAAATTAGCTCATTATACATTAAATGATTTCCTACCAAAAAAAAAAAAAAAGATAACTGTATAACAAATCTCATCTAAAAGAGACAAAAAAACCCCTAATTGATTGCTTTGAAACCTCTGCTTCCAATGGATACAGAATATGTTGCCTCTTTTTCCTTCTAAAGTTTTTGTTTGAATCCTAAATTGAAGATAGAAATTTGTAGACATTTTAAACGTGAAATACAAATAGTTTAAATCATTACAATACATCAAAGAATGCAGCTCATATTTCATAATAATTTTCTTTTTAGAGGCATTCAGCACACATGCACACACACACACACACACACACACACACACACACAGAATATGTGATGTATCATTTTCCAAAAGTTAATTACTAGTTATTCAGTCCACACAAATAATTCCCATGGCAATGCTCATCAAAAAGACATAATTTAGGTTTTTCAAGATTATGATCAAGTCTTTCCTTACCAGTATTCACTTTGATTTCCTGAAAAGAGAAAATTATGCAATTGGCTCTGTTTTAAAGATTATACTCACTATACTTGATAGAGTACCTGTTCTACTTAACAGTTCATAGGCTGTTCATTAGAAACACAACTGCCTATTTGTAATCACAAATATACTTGATGGCTTGAATTTTCCTAATTAAGTAAAAATGATTAATTTTATTGCAATTTTGTTTTACTATCTGTTCTTTACCTATGAAACAGAAATTCCAACAGCACCGTAACTTCATTTTAATGCTAATATGAAAAGTATCATAGAAATAAAAACGAACTTCAATCTTCTAACACATTTCAGAAAATCCAAAGAATTATGTTTGTATTGTCATGTTCAAGTGTTATATAGCCTGTTTAATAAATCAAGTATTACTATACTCCCTATTGTAAAAGTTCCACTATCTCCTCATTGTTAGCAATTGTTATTTATCCATTCTTACATATACATTTCCAAAAAGACCATTTAAAAAACACAAACTCTTATGCTGCACCTCAATAGCCTGCTCATTGTGAGAATCTGGTGTTTCTGTTTAGGGGAAGGCATTTTTGACTGGATAACAAGCGATACTGAGGGGCCCTGAGCTCTGCCCTTTCTTCCTTACATAAAGGGAAGAGGCTCTGCACATTCACATGAGCTTTTCCAAGGTAAGATAAGTAGGAAACTTTGGCTAACACCATTTCTCATATGATAGCCCATGATCTCTGGGGTAAGTGGAATAGAATTGTAAAGAAGATTCCGTAGTTTATCCTGATATGGTGCACAGGACATAGAGAACAATGTACACTCACTAATTGAAATACAGTTCTGTCATGCTACAGTTTCATCACAAAGAACAAATGAGCTTTATGAGGAAACATGATTTGGATAGTTTATATGAAAGTGTGTTTCACTTTTATGTACTTATCCAAGGCAGATATTTATATATCAATCATATTTTCAATTACTTTACTAAAAAATGTACTTTCAAATATCCCAATTTTGCAGGTTTGTGTAAATGTCATTCATAATGATAATACAAATCATATTTAGAGTAAATTCTAAAATGAGAGTAAATAAAAAATGTTGATGTTGTTTGTAATAAAATTTATTGGGCCTTGTTTGGCAGAGCAACATAACTCATCTGGCACCCTTGGCAAGCTCTCAGTGAAAGCTGTGACATGGACACTTTATGGCATGCTTTCCTATCTCATATTCTTATTTATTATACTCCCAAGCAAGGCAAGTGATAGAGTCCAGTCCTTTATAAGCCCTTCCTTTAAAAAGCTGTAATAAGAGGTCTGGAGTGAGGATTGATCTCTAACCTCAGTGGCATAGACTTGTTTCACAATAGAAACTGAATGGCACCACCCTTTAGCTGCGATGTTCTGTTCTCCATTCACTTAATCTTAAAGCCAAAGGGTAAAAGGCAGTGCAATGAAAGTCAACCTCGAAGATTTTTGTTTTAATTACTTCCCAGAATACATTATTCCTTCTGTTTGCTTTAGATCATAATGTTCAAAGTCAGATTTAAAAAAAAAAAAAAAAAGATCAATGTGTGTTTTCATTAGACAGGTCTTTTGCTCCTCCTTTGACAAATCAATTCGCAACAGAAAAGCAAACCTACTTACTGTCAATAACAATGATGAAACAATTAAAAGCCTGAGCTAATCTAATTGAATAATATTACATGCAGTTTTTGGAAGTATGCTGAATGCCAGCATTTCTTGCATAGGAATATTTGGTATAGGGAATAATATGACCATCTTATTACATAACAGATTTTCATAATTCCCAGATATTCACAATAGATGTTGAGTAAGTTCGGGTTAAATTAAAATGAACTAGATTTGTTCTCTAGCCATTAAAACTACAATGGGCACAATGCAGAATTTTAGAATAAAAACTATCTACAAAGTTTTTACAATTTATTACTGAAATGCAATGTCCATTGGGGTCCAAACGCTTTTATAAATTAAGCTGGATATCCACTTACTTGCAAAGTATATCTTCACTGTCTTTATTTATAATGCAGTGCCCCCCATGGCACCTTACACACTTGTCAACCTCACATTTTGGTCCTTCATAGCGTGTTGGACAGACACATTCAACACTTCCATCATCCCCAATGGTACATGATTCAGAATTCACACAATAGTAGTGGCACACGTCTAGAAAAAAAGGTACAACAGAAAAATAAAATTATATTACAGGACATTTTTCTTCAGTCATAATAAAGGTGACCCTTTCATTTATTACTTAAAAATGATCAATCAATAGGTAGATAAATTTGTAAAAACAGCTTATAATTACACATAAAGTAGAATTCTTTAATAATGGCTATTGATTCTCCTCTTTGAGTTAGGCATCATTTTCCTCTGGCTAAGAGGAGAGAGCTTGTATTGCTATAATGCTAGCTGACAAACTCGTTTTGTTCTGAATATTTAAGTTAACAAGTTCCCTTCGCTTTCTTTCTGATGAACAATGTAAGTATAGTTTGAAATGAACAGAAATGCTTAACATTTCTTTGGATGTCATTTATTGTTGCCTCCTTCATTCCTCTTTTCATCCAGAGAACAGAGTAATGTTTGGTTGTTGGAGGCCGAAAGAATGAGGGTTGTGATCAAATTGGTATACCACTGAAGGCTATACGAGTAAGCCACAAACTGTTTCTCATAAACGCAGAATGTTGTCAAACTGACAAACTGTGTATGCCACCCAGAAGGACTGCTGAGAGCAGTCATGATCCAGGCATAAATGTTTCTTATGATTAGGCATAATTGAAGCCTGCCAGTTACAATATGAACCTGTGGTCAATTAAGGAGCCGACCTGCTCTTATTACCCAATAAATACGAAAGGCTATAGAAGCTTGGTGGTTGCCTTTGCTCACTAGAAGCAGGGAACTCTCTTCTTCCTCCCCTGCCCCTTTCCTTAAAGCAGTTTCTTTTGTCTTATGTTTTCATTTCTACATTCGCTCCTTCATTCAGTCTTGTAATGACGGTCCCAAGCAGTAACAGTAGTAAGTGCTGTGATGACAGTCTCAAGCAGTGACAGTGGCAGTCAGCCACATGTGGTGAGCAGAGGACTCCTACCCCTGCACCTGACTTTAGTTTGTGGAAATAAGCCTCGCTGTACATGTAGCAGAAAAAACCCAGGTATCTTCTGCATGCCTAAGCAGGTGAGCAAACGACAAGTTATACCTCTCATGGAACTGCAAGAGGAAAGCAAGCTGGGAGACTAACTGATCCATCATTCATGGGGAATAATAACAGAAATCTAGGCTATTATCCTTTTCTAAGGTAAGAGACTAATCTTCCCATCAGTCATGAAGCTCCTTGTAATCTGAACCTATTGTTTTGAAGGCCATTTCTCACTGAGCATCACAGACAATTTTCTCAATTACAAAGGAACACTTCACCCAAATATTTCTATACCCCTTGAACATGCATAATGAAACAAAGACCAGTTAATAATATAACAACCACTCTAACAATAGAATTAGACATTCTGCTTCTGTCTTTTGAAAAGCAAACATGTCTATGTTTTTATATATGGATATATTATCATTTATCACACTTAAATATTGAAATTAATAATACAAATGATCCTATGTGAAATAATTGATTAAATTGATTCTAGACTTTGTGTTTAGAAGATGCAATTTCTTTCTATTTAATTGTGAAGCAATATTAGATTAGCTGAGATAAAAATCACAATTTATAAACTTCATCCTGCTATATAACAATTATAATGGGTAAGAAAAATTAAAACATAATTTATAATTCTCATGTTTATGTTTATCTAGCCCTTTATTTAATCAGAGAGAAATTTATTGACAGACTTGCTTCATATTTATGGAAATTTATTTCAAGCATTCCTATGCTTGCCGTTGCACTATGCCAAGTACCTTCATTGAGATTCAGGGTTTAAGTCTGTTAATAAGGGTTTTGGATATATTTAAGACATATAGCACTTTCAAAAGGTGAGAGAGTTGGAGATCTGAAATTTAACATAGTGTTAGTAGCCATACATTATGGTTTCTGTAGTTGTGTTCTAGGCTTGGAGGGCATATGTACACAACACAAATGCTGTTTTTCTTTATGAAGAATGTATCAACAGCAGTCTATGTGATCATCCAGGACAGCCTCCCATTCAATGAAGACACCTCTGAAGAACAACCTTCTTTAGGCAGGTTGCAAGATACCTCTAATTCATAAAAACTCTTTTAATATTGCCCCCAACTGCTTTAAAATTTCATCCACTGGGGCTGATGAGCTGTCTGATGAAACAGAAGTCTGCTGATGTTTCTTTGCAACATTTTCTTATTATGTCATTATTCAAAGGTTGCCATGGTGGATATAATTAATTATAGAATCATATAGGTAACTTACTTGCAGATGAAAATTCCAGTGCCTTTCCCTGCCACCCACTCCTAGATTTTAATTCATAGGTCTGAAATGGGGCCCAGGTAGTTCCCATGGGAACTAGAAAATGTAAGAAATGATGATCTGGAGATAATTTTACTAGTTGGCAAAGGGATTACATTGTCTAATACTTGTAAATAGATTTGATTTGACCAAAATAGCTTATTTATTAACTAACATTGAAAACCAAAATTAAAATGTAATTTCTCATGTAAAATTTTGAAGCACTTTGTTTTTATAACTATACCCCTGAAAAGACCCAAATAACTAGAAGAAAATGGGTTAATATTTTGAAGGTTGATGAATGTCCAGGACCACATTCCAGCAAAGAATTGTTTGCATTTAACGTAAAGTACTAAAGGTCAAAGTTAAAAAACTTATCTGCAGTATGCTAATTATAAGGTTTTTTTGCATAAATTAAATCTTAGATTTATATTAAAAAGATGGGCTGGGTGCGGTGGCTCACACCTGTAATCCCAGCACTTTGGGAGGCTGAGGTGGGTGGATCATCTGAGGTCAGGAGTTCGAGACCAGCCTGACCAACATGGAGAAACCCCAACTCTACTAAAAATACAAAAAATTAGCTAGACGTGGTGGCAGGCACCTGTAATCCCAGCTATTCAGGAGGCTGAGGCAGGAGACTCACTTGAACCCACAAGGCAGAGGTTGCAGTGAGCCAAGATCATGACATTGCACTCCAACCTGGGCAACAAGAGTGAAACTCTGTCTCAAAAATAAATAAATAAATAAGTAATAAAGAATAAAATGAAAAGATGTGGGCCTGTACATAACTCACTAGTAATCAAGGAGATGCAAATTAAATTAACACTTTAATGAAATACCATTACACACCCACCAGATTGATAATATAATAATAGTGGAAACTCTCATCTACTACCCGTGGGAGAGAATATTGGTTCAACCAATTTGGAAAACGGTTGGCAGTATCTCCTAAACTTCAGCATATGAACACCTTATGACCTGGCACTTCCGCTGTTAACATATACCCAAAAGAAGAGCATGCACATATATGTCAAGAAACATACATGTAATATGCACAGCAGTATTTAAAAAAGCAGCCCAAATTTAAAAAAGTCTAAATGTCTGTCCCAAGAATGGATAAACTATGGTTCATTTATACAATAAAATGCATGTATACAAACACACAAAATACACCTATAAGCAAAAATATGGATGAATCTCACAACAATAATATTGAGAAAAACAGACACAAAAATATACTACATTTTTAAAAATTTATATAAGGTTCAAAAGTTAAATTGAATCTATGGTTTTAGAAGTAATGAAGGATTTATCTTATGGGAGACGAGAAAGGACAGTGATGAAGAACATGAGGGAATTTTTGAGGTGCTGATAATGTTTTTCTTGACTTGAATGCTGATTTAAACTGATGTGTACACCTTGTAATATTTAATTGAACTGTTTCTTGTGATTTTAAACTTTTCTGTGTATATGACACTTCAACAGAGAATGCTTTTTCTTTTAAATAAGAGGTACATGAGCTACCTTAGAATGTTTTAGAAATTCTCATTTATTTAGCTAACTAGGCTAAATAGTTTTTCTCTTTGTAGGAACAACTTTTAAAAAATATTAATGGTTCACTTTTTATGGTTTACAGAAAATCCTTCACTCTTTAATGCATCCAATATTTTTTTTCATAGCATGTCAGATATGCATTATTCAATGCAGTTGATTGGCCTCATGGCATAAAAATAGAATCCAAGACTGTAAAAGAAATGTTTGCTTATGATAAAATTGGGAAAAAAAGCAAATATTAGAATTTACACTTTAATAAATAATTCTAAATTGCATGTTTTTAAGCCATACCATTTTTTCCCCTCTAAAAATGGCAGAAATCATTTTATGCTCTGAACCTTTTCTCTACAGATATTCAAATGGGAAGACATTTCATTTGACCCGGTTCACATTCTTAACACTCCATGCTGAGTTAAAATTCAGGGGCAAAGAGTTGCTCACTACATTCCAGCCCTGGCAGAGTTGCCTCCCATTGCCTTGCTGTGAAAATCTTCTATCTCCAGTTATTTGGCTTAATATTTGAAGCATGTGGAAGCTGCTGTGTTAGATGCTTGGTTGGACTGTTTTCTGCACCCGTTAGGATTCTAGGGCCTATTCTTTGACGTTTATGAAATGCCTTTGTCCCTTTCTCTTGCCTCCTACCCTCTCCTCCCTCTCTCCCTCTCTCTCTCTCTCTCTCTCTCTCTCAATCTCTCTCTCTCTCTCTCATCTTAAGGGCTTTCCTATTTACTCATTTCCCACTCCAAGACTCCTGAACACAGCAGAAAGCAGATCTTACTTAATAAGAGACTTTAGCATCTGATATTTCGGCTATGACACAATCATTGGATACTTGTAAATTGTAAAGCAAAATAATCTCTTCAAGCATCCTCTGTTATTTCAAATGTTATCATGGTGCATGCTATGTGCAAGTCCAGGAAAGAGTTTGAAACATCTGATGGTGTTGTCTATTTCTAAATTGGGTGATTCAAACAAAGTCCCGGTTTTCTGTAATTGACTCAAAGTAATAACTGCAATATTAGTAAATCATAAGAATGCTAGTTTAATTTCTCTCTCATTCCCTTCACATCTATAATGCACTTAGAATTACAAGCATCTGTGTAAACTTGTATAAATATGTGCCATATTTTCATGAGTGTCACCTCTCTATATACTCTCACATAATTACTACACACTCATATTTAAATTC